AAGATCAAATCTAGAGCTCTATGAACATAGTAAAAATCTGACACTGTTAACTTCCTCAAAATACAACAAATTAAACCGGCGGGTCACGTTGTCAGAATGGACAAAAACCACACCACTAAAAAAAAACTTCAATGCCCAATCAATTGGCACACGAAGAAAGGGCAGGCTGAATCTTAGATGTATTGATGACCTAGAAAAAGGTTTCCTAGTTTTTTGAGAACTAAGATTTGGAGAACACAAGCAAGAAGAAGTCTGTCCTCGAAAAGGCATCAGGAGAAGGCGAAGTTCCACCTTGAGCTTTCGAGCCACTGAGGAAGGAAGGAATAAAAAATGCACTCTCTTAGTTTGGAATAAATTTTCTTTAAAAGCAAGTTACTTTCACACTCATAGCAAGCCATTAAACTTTATCATTAAGTAGATTATTTTTTAAATTCGCCCAAATTTAAAATTTTCTTAATATTTTCAGTTAATAAAAAGTTAAATTAATGCAAGTGATATTATGCATTTGATTTATACACATACATGAAACTTCATTTTCGTGCCAAAACCGATTACAATTTTTACAAATGCGTTTCTTCCAATGCACGTTAAGTATTTCCGCACAACCAGAATCTCATCCCCAAACATACGCATAGACTTTCAACAATTACAAACGTCCAACTGCATTGAAACCTTAAAAGCAAGATTCCTCCAAATCCCGTAATAACCTTATTGTTGGATGCCACACCTCATAAAACCTAAGATGCCTCCGATTTTTGATAGAGGCTTCAATAATCCCAGCTTATATATATATATATATATATATATATATATATATATAACCCTGTAGATTACTCTCAAGGTTGAATATTCCATAGGGAGAATTTCTTTCTTTTTTCTTATCAGCATCCGCCCTACGGAGAATGTGCACCATTCAAGTTTTTTTGTATAAACAATATATTATTATTTTTTCTTTATGTCATTGTATACCTGGACTATGCAATCGAATCGCTTTTTGCGATTGGGTTTTTACTCTTTCCTGGAGTTTCTGGGTAAACCTCAATTCATTTTGGCGGATCATTCTCGAAAATATTAAAAATAGCCCTTTAGGTAAAAAACAATGCGCTTTCTGGGAGCGAATTTTTTCTAGAAAGATAGAACGTTTGTCTGAAGAATTTATTTCGCTCTACTTTCAGATTATATGTGTGGAAAAGGGATTCACTCTACAGACCTATATTTTGTGATGGAAGAAATGATATCTACTCGTGTATGAAAAAGAAGCCAATTTTGAATTTTCTCAGCGTTAGGAAAGAGTGCAAAAATGTATGGTATTAAAAATATATATATATATATAAACCGGTTCTTCCAAATAAATCTCTTCAAAGAGTATATGTTTACTTTTAAAATAAATAAATCTGAAATAATCTCCTCAACAAGTTTAAAGTATAAAATATAAATTAAAGAAAGTTTATGTTTAGGGTTGGAGAGAGAGAATAATTGCTTTTTTCTTCAATTCCTTCTATATTATTCCTAATTCCTACTGTCTCCCTATATATATTTATATATATATATACGTTGTTCATATTTTTAATCGTTAATAAAACAGTTTCTATTCTTTCATTTAAGTTCAAATACAATTTTTAAAACTTGTAGTGGATGACACTTGATTTTATAATTTTTTAAAACATTAATTCATGAACTAAACTAAAAATAAGAACAAACAGAAATAATAGTCCAACAGTATATATAGAAAGGAAAATTGTTCGTTACGCCCAGTAGCGCATTGGATAGCGCGTTGGATTTCAAATCCAAAGGCCGTGGGTTCAAATCCTTCCTGGCATGGCCTAATTTATGAGAACGTGATTTCTTTTTAATATACTATGTTATTGGAATAATTAAATTTAATTAATGAATAAATAGTAACAAAAAACTAGTCCAACACCCTATATAAAAGGAAAATACAAGGACAATCGTTAGTTACGTAAAATACTAAAGTTTCAGTGCCAACGCGCTTACCCCTCTGGACAGATGCGGAATGCGTATAAATAGAGGGCTGTAGTGGGACGTTGAAAATAGTTAATGATAATTTGTTAGTGGCGAAAGTTTAGTGAGACCTAAGTATACCTCAATGACGAAAGAAGATGAAATTCCAACAACTTATGGAGTTTGATGGGGAATGACTATCGGCCTTCGAGAAGTAGGATTTTCCTATCACTCAATTGGAGCTCGTGTCCAGCGGAACGTTTCAACAGTGATGCCACTTTGGAAGCAGTGGACCGACGATCACCGAAAAACTCGAAAAACTGGGAGTAGACGAGGGGAAGGGACGACGTCACCTGCGGGGCGGTATGATCGTACAGCTTCCCCCAGGCGTTGGCAGAATGTTGGCTACTCCGGTTCAATGTCGACCCAACTTATCGACGTCTGCCAGGGGTTTCCCAATGGTGCCTTTATCGGATCCCCCCCCAAAACCATCGATGGCCGGTCCTCAGGGCTCATGAGAAAGAGCCGGGCATGCTGTTTTTCCAAAGTTGGCTTTTCTGATGAATAACGCTTCTTTTTTGAGGAACCCTTGATGACGTTTCGTGTTAGACGCTATCCCGGTGAACCCCTTTCAGACAGGTTATCGGACAAAGGGGCCTACACTGGGAGTTATGGTTTGGGATGCTTTTGAAAAATGGACAACCCAAATTTGCTACGAATTGGGGGTAAATCTTTAGAACAGGTATCTAAGTGCCACCCGAAGGTGTTCCCCTTCAAGGCATCCCCTGGGATATCTTTCGGGAGGTTTCCCACACAAGTTGAAAATTTCCAGACTTCTGTTCACCCAACTCATGCAACTTTTTTTTGGTTTGTTATTCCCCGGATATGATCTTTGAGCACGTAAGGATTTTGTTGGTCGGTGTCGCCGGATCCTTTTTCCGGTCAAAAACCTTTTGGGGGCTTAAAAGCAGTATGGAATTTTTCTACAAGAGACATTTAAAATCTGTTTGACCCCATGCCACGTCGCATGACCCCTTATTGCAGCCCCTTTGCCTACCCCAAAATCGTTTTTAGACATTTAATATTGTTTTTTTGTTTTAAAAAATTTCTTTATTTATACTAATACAAGTCTTTTGTATTAAATTTCATTAAATTTGATTAGTCCTTCATGGTGTTAAATTTTTTTACAAACATCAGTTTAGTAATAAGCAAAGTTATTCGTTTTCGTTATTGAGAATACATTTTAAAATTTAAACCCAAAAAATTTTTTGACCGAAAAAAAAAAAATACCCTTTAAAAAATTTACCATCTTAAATAAAAATTTGTTTTTTGCCCCTTTAATATCACAAAGCATATTTCTAAATACAGATAAATTTTTTTTTTGTTTTTGTAAAACGGTTTTTTTTAAGTTTTGTGTAAAAAAAATAAATCAAAATGAAATTTTTGGTGCGGTTTTCATTTTTGAAATTAAAATAAATATTAAATTCATTACATTTATTATGCCATATTTTCCTACTTCATTTCATAAAAAAAAAAGGGGAATGCCCAGTTCACCTAAAAAGAATAATGCATCCATTACATAAATCTAAATTTCATTAAAACGGATTCATAAAAAAAGAGCAATTTAAAAAATATTTCCCAAACACAGTATTTAAAAAAATTCCTCAATATAAAAATGGACCATGCTTTTTTTAAAAGTTAATCAACAGTAAGGTAATAGTAAAAAAATGTTTCTTTTTTCCCCTTTTTAAAAATTCCAATAAAAACCCCCAAAAAAATAGAATAATTTTCAAACATTTACTTTTTTAAAAAATTTTTTTAAAAAAACAAAAAAAAAAAAAAAGATAAAATTTTTACAATAAAAAATTTAAGAATGCCCAGACCTATTGGGGGGCACGTGTTAAATTGACTAATTTTTATGTCCCTTTTTTCTCAGAAACTGCTTACTTCTAAGGGGGATAAAACTTAAAAATTTCAAACTATCATAAAACTTACGAAGGTTTTTTTTGTTTAAAATTAAAAAAATTTTGAAAAACCTTTTTTTGTTTTAGTTTAAAAACCCTTATCTAAAAAAAGGTTTGTAATGTATCTAATCATCTCCTTTAAAAAGGGCAACATGTTAAAAATATGAAAATTTTAAAGGGCCTATTTTAAAAAATGGCTTATATCGAGACACAATCTGCTTCTCACACGGACAATTACCGAAAAATCGGGTTTAAGTAAAATAACCTGTACCTATTTTAAAACCAAATTTTTTTAATTTTTTAGGTATTTCCCATACAACCCGCATCCCATTTTATAAAAAACTAGAAAAACATGCGAAATTTTCTACGTTCGGGAAGCCCTTTTATTCGAGGTATTTTTCCCAATTTTTTAAAAATCTTCTAGAATGCCGTTTTTTTTAAATAAGCAGTATTTCGATAAAAAAAACTCAAACTCAGTGGTAAAGCTCATTATTGGCCCCATCCATATAGGGGACCATTACCGAGGGGAGCAGATGTTCATCAGGTGGTCAGTCTGAAGAAAATTTTCGATAAATGCCGTAGCGTATTTTTTTTTATGCTCATCCACCCCTTTTTTTAAAATTTTTTTTTAAAAGATATTTTTATACACGGGTATAAAACGCAGTAATTTCGATCTATTTTATTTTTTAAAGAGTGCGTATGACACGCCGGATTTACGGTAGTTTTCTGGGTACTTAAATATTAGCATCATCGCAGCCAAATTGCCGCCATGCAAAACTTTTTTCCCACCCAAATCTGATTTTGGGATCACTGGAAAATAAAATAGGTGGAGGATTTCAATTGGGTAGGGTATGTTTTGTGTAGAGATTTTGAAATCACGCCAAACAGATCTAAAAATCTTAAAAATTAGATTTTAAAAAAAACATTACCCAAAGAAACGTATACCCCGAGCTTAAAATAAAGGAAACAGAATACAATACTAAAGTTAATTGACATAAAAGAACTGAACTATCTTTATCAATGAAAAAGAAAATTTGAAAAAAAATTACAATTTTTGCGACACCGCTTCCCCCCAACACGCATTTTAAGATTTTGTCTGTTTTGTTTGTTCGCTGCGCCTTTTCCCAATTTGACGTGGAATTACCCCCCTCCCGTTTTTGCGTGGCAGTAGGAACCAAATTCGATTTTTGCAAAGAAATTTTTTATGAAGCCGATTGACTGCAAAAAAAAGGTTTAAAAATAAAATATGAAATTGTAAAAGCTCTAAGGGGGCCCTTTGAAAAATTCCTTTCCCCTTTTTTCAAAAACCCAGTTAGTGGGATTGTAACACTTGGGGGGGCCCTGCATCATTAATATGGTGATACAGCAAAGCTATACCCCGAAAAAAAAAACCATAACTTGCTAAAAAATTTGTATTTTTTTAAAAAAAAATTACTAATGGAATCTGTTTAAGAAATTTATAACAAACTTAAATCTTTTTAAGCAATCAAAAAAAAAAAAAGGTTCAATTTTTTTGATGACTCAAAATATAAAAAAAATTTTGTAATTTTCCCATTTTGTTCAAATAGTAAATCAAAAAAAGGTACTAACGTATTATCGAAACCCCATTAACGACATTTTTAAAAAGGGTTTATGATTAACGATTCAGCGTTTACAAAAATGTAAAAAGTGGAATTCAACTTGAAAGTTATATACACGTTGGCGTTTTGCAATAATCTAATATCAAATGAAGTTAAAAATTGTTAAAAACAGACGAAAACATTTGTTTTAAAAAACCCCTTCATTTTTCGCTAAATTTAAATGTCCCCAAAGTGGGAAAAAATGTTAGAATAGAACAAAACTTTTTCCCAAACATTGAATGCATATCGCGATTTGGGACGTTTTTTGTTTGGGGTACATGATCAACGGAAAAACGTAGATCAAAATAAATAACAAAAAATTATACAATGAATTAATTTTAATTTCGGATTACGGGGGAAAGATTAGGGGGAAAATTTAAACGGTAGGCTTCGGTTTGTGGAATCAGGGCTAGTCTTGTGTTATCACCCAAACGTAAAAATTTTAGCTTTTTGGCGAAAAAAAAAGAGAGTATAGTATAAGTAGATCAAATATAATTTTTATCTTCGTTTAATAAAGAGAAATAAATTTATCTGAAAATTACAGAAAAAAACCCGATGTAAAAATAAGCAAAATATCGTAAACACCCCGCGATAATAATCTGATGGTTGCCAAACACAAAAAAAAATTTGAATTGTTAAAAGAATAATTTTAAAAAAATTTGTTTTTTTAAAAAAAAATAATCCTTATTACGTATCAAAGAACGAAAATGTAGAAATATGGCAATAAAAAAAAAAAAAAAAACTATAGTAAAAATATGTATTAACCCAAAAACTGCGTTCAAAAAAATTTTTGCATTCAGAAAGAAACGGACGTCATAACAACAAAATAAGAAATAATAAGGCATAAACCGTCCTCCAAATCGTTATGTCAAAATTTCAGATTGATTGATTGAATATTGCGTCGCACTGTTCAGCTCAGATTTTGGACGGACCCTTTAATTTTTAAAAATATCGGACGGGGCGACTACCCGGGGGGCACTCCCCTCCTAAAACCCACCACACCAACCTGAGGACAAAGGGAAAAAAAAGTATACTCAACGTTGGGGTTTAGAATTTTTCTGTTACATACGTTTAGAAAGAACGGAAATATCCTTCAGACGATTTTAAACTCTTGGCGAAAGACCATCTTTAAAAGAATTCCCGGTTCTGCTTCGGGAACGGTTATACATTTCGGGAACCTTAGAATAGCTCTATTATCCACCATCATAATAAATTGAACAAATTTGTTGAAGTTAATATAAAAAATAAAAGCATTCCAATTTAAATGCAGCGCAAT